ATATATTGAAGAATGTTGATGGTAACCAAACAGTTGACGGTGTCCATTGACTTCCATAGTATTTTTTTCATACTATGAAAGTCAGTGGCTACCATTAGCTGTTTGACTACCAACATTCTTCAAACCAGCTTGGTATTGTTACAATGTCAGTAGCAGTTTTGGGGAAAGTTACTTTTAAAATTAATGCGTTACAATGTTGCGTTACTTAAATGAATAAGCCTCAGCCTGAATTAAGTGCCTCTGCCTCTGCATTTACTCCCAATTTCTCTCAACATGTGAACAGGAGAGCTGTCCGTCAATAAATGGGAAAACAAAATAACTTGTGTTACTTATTTGAAAAAGTAATTTTCTTGCAAATTTGAAAGTAATGTGTTACTTTGCTAGTTACTTGGAAAAAGTAATCTGATTATGTAACTCGTGTTACTTGTAACGCAATACCCCCTAATACTGATATACTAGAATACAGTGTGATGTAAGTGAACATTTCTGTTAACATCACCCAGATATCCCTCAGCAAAAGGGCTTTTGTGAAAACTACAGATCGTGTTTCCGGATTTTTGTCTCCGCATTCACAAACCGTCGGATCGAGCCCAGTGCATTATGGGTGTTGAAGTTTTCCTACCTTTTAGTCAAATAGATACAGCTTCTTTTCTCAGATTTCTCTAGTCATTATATATTTTAATCATTTTTCTACTGTATAGACAGCCAATGTATTATAAAAGCCAGTGTTGCCAGTGATGAATTTCCCCTCATTCTTCTGTTTCTGACTGCAACATTTCGTGGTGCCATGTCTGGTTACTGGATGTACCGGATGTGTTCCCGCTTAACCTCTGAGTCAGCGCTGGACAAAAAGGTTGAGCGTGTCATACAAACGCACCCTGGCGTATCCTTGAGCCACTGTGAAGGCAGAGAACAGCTGCTGGGAATCTCTCCGTATCTCTCTAGCGTCCTCCTTCCTCTTTAAGGAAAGTTGCAGTCTGGAAAAGGCGGAGAGTGCGGATGACAAAGATTTGTTTCCACAAGTCATGAAGCTGTCGGAAAGAGCCTGCTGGGCCAGCGACTTAAAGCCGAGTGAGTCATAAGACCTGGGTCATGAAAGTGCAGGGGAGCGGAGAAAATAAAAAAGAGGAATTAAGGCACAGAGAAAACAGGGCAGGACTTAGCGCTTAGCGGACAATGACGCACGAATGAAGAATTGAGTGTGGATTTGAAAGCTTAGAGGAGGAAACAAAGAGAGGGAAGAGCTACGTTTGCCATTCCTTGACAGTTGAAAGGGGAATTTCAAAGGACGGGTGATGTCATCGAAGAGAAGCCCTCGTTAGAGTTTGAAATGAAAATATAGTTTCGAAATTCAAACTGGTTTTGCTGTTGGTTAAACAAACAGGACGTCCCGACCAAAGACACACTGGTGGTTGAGCCAAAAGTTGACATGCTAGGACATCCTGCTTTTTTCTTTTAGCAGCCTTGTATTGTGGTACTTTTTTCCAAGAAACACAATTTTTTTTATTAATATGATACTAGAGCAGGAATGCACACTGTCCTGCAGATTTTATCTCCATCCCTTATTAAACATGGCCAGTCCCATGAAGCCGGTTTAGCAAGGTAGGTTTTAGATTAGTTGGGTTTTAGGGTATTTAGGGTTATATTATGAGTAAGAGATTGCGAACCGAAACTGGAACAGTCAGCTGTCAGTAAAGTGACGCATCTCTGATGCAATACAGTTACTCCTCAGTTTCTCTCGCTCCAAATTAGCAGTTTACAACAAAAGTTACAACAAAATTGATGCTTTAGGCCTTTAGCGATGCTTATTTATTATACCCTCAGTCCATTACACGATTATAGTTAAACAATTAATATTAGGCGTTTAGTTTAAATACTTTTAAATCAGATATTATATAAGATAAATAACCTCAATATGTAAATCTGTCTATATATATTTGAAGAGTTTAAAAACAGATAACTGTTTTTTTTTTTAATTTTCAAAAATCGTGGTTTTTTTATGCTGTCATGGTTTGATTGTGTTTTATTGTGTTAGTTAGCTGTATTTTCATGTTTCATTAAATCATCATGTTTTGAAGGCAAAAAAAGGTCAATATTTTCAGATCTGTCAGGTGTTCTAATAATTTTGGCCACCACTGTACAACTGTTCATTGTTAGTCCATGTTAGCTCAGGTCCATTAAATATCATTAACTTTTGATTTTAATAATGTATTTGTAAATGTTGGAATCAACATTAACTAGATTAATAAATGCTTTATGTCAACTAATATAGTTAACCACATGCTTCAGGGCAGAACGGTTGTCTTTGTAGAACAGACTCCTAAAATGCAACATGTAAGAATAATTCTGTTCCTGTTTCAATGAATGAGGCCCAAACAACTTGAAATAATTTAACAGTGCTCAGATACAAATACATGCACAATACAAATGTAAATAAGCGTCTGTTTTGTATTACTGGGGCACAGCAAAGTACAAATGCTCACTGATCATACCGCAAGGGTCTTATGAGAAATGACATGACAAATTGGAAACTGTATTTGAACAGTTCATCGCTATGTTTTCTGGAAACATCTGTGCATTAGTCACCTTCCTGAAAATGGAAATGAAACCAAACAGCAAAGCCAAAGCAAACCCTCTACTATTGCAACTCAGTTACTCATTCAAGGAATCCCAACCAGAAGGAAAATATGATAGACAGGAACATTTTATTTTAGCAACAGGGCTGAGACACCCACTTATAACATGAGCTAATGGGATGACCTGATTCTTTTTTCTTTTTTATGTATTTCTACTGTATATAGTACTTTTGAGCTGTTAATCTCACTCTAAACCTAACCCTAACACTATTTCTTAGAAGTATATACAATATAAAGAAAAATGCAAACAAATCATGGTGATTACACCTAAGTTTATTGCTAAAATGTCAAAAAGCAGCGCCAAAGTAGTCCAAATAACAATGTGAAAAGTAATGGTTAAACAATTACATAAATGTTATTCCTTTTAAGGTTTTGAAGTGTAGTCTGGTTTAACATTATGCAATTATTTTATACCATTTCATTCTGTTCTGCCAATTTGTAATAATTTAAAATTAAGTAAAGGATTCAACTGCGTTAAATGCAAATGCAAATTAAAACATAAATTCAAAAATTGACATTTTAGATGGTGTCAATCATTTTATTGTCTATGCAAACATAAGTAAATGTACATGTGGTAGAACCACACTTTAAGTAAAATACATATAAATACTCATGAGATCACATTGAGAAAAATCCCATCTGTCCCCATGAGGAGGTCAGTTTCTTACAGTATGTGTCTCAGAGTCGTGCTTATAGAAGACAGATTTTGAACAGCCTCTCAATGCATAATTATGTGCCACATTCTGAATTCTAAATTACTTGATAGATTATAATGGAGAAAGAGTGGAAACAAAATGGTACATTGTGTGCGTCATTTCTGCCCACTGCATCTGCCTCTCTCATTTTCCTCTCATTCCCAAACACACAATACTTCACGTTGTTGATGTACTAAGAGTATGACTATTTATTTGACACGTGTTTTGTGTGAATTTTCTAATGTTTCCAAATGTAGCAGGCCAGAAATTGCTAGTAAATTTTACTAATAATTATGAAGAAATTGCAGTTTTCAATTTCAACAAATCTGGCAAGCAAGACATTAAATTAAATGATAAAATGTAATTAAAATTAAATTAAATTTCTTGTAAAACGTACTCCAATAATCATGGAAATGCATTTTTATGGTGTAGTGTGACACATATATGTCATGATATTAAATTTTTTTTAAAATCCAGTAAAATAAATACTTTTACAATGAAAAAATTTTTATTTGAAAAAAGTTGAAATTTTTTTTATTATATTTTGTTTTTGTTTTTTTGGAATTTGATGGACACAAACCAAAAGTTATTCATCACAAGTAAATGATCTGTATCAGTACAAAAATCATTAAAAAAAAGACTTAAAACAGTAAAATTAACATTAAAAAACAGATGGTTCCAAGTTTGAAACTTGGAAAACATATGTTCAAAGTTAAATCAAATAAGACGATATACCCACACCTATGACAGCGTGTCAGTTCAATTCCATATTAATTTGGAAAGTTGTGACATTACTTGGCAACCCAAATATTTTCTGGGAAATTTTCAGGAAGGCTGAGTCCTCCAAAGGTCGTATTTGTCATCGAGGCGGACTCATTTAAGAAAAGCAACCATTAGACTGCACAGTAAGAAAGAAATAACAGTATTTTACACCTCCCAAGGAGTAACAGTCAATTTTATTATGGTTACTTTTCTTAAATAGGACATCCTTGATTATGTATACAGCCTAACAAATGCAGCCTCTGCAGCTTTTGTCTTGAATTTTCCTGCTCTGTGTACAGCACAAGTAAATAATATGAAGCTTTCCTGCCCAATATATCTTTCCTGGTAAATAGAGTACAACAATTTCTCTGCTGGTTTTTGTACTGTCATACCACCCAGCCCTAAATACAACATAAAGTGTTCCAACTACGACCATTTGAAAGCGTCTTTATTCGAGTGGGTTTCATATGCAAAACATCCTTTAATCAGTCACATCCAGATGACCCTAAGTCCCTTTGACATTCATTTCTAAGCCATTGCCTCACCCTGCCACATCCAAGCCAACTCAGAAGGGGGTGCATTCATGCTCCAGTGATAAAGTTTCCATTATGGGAGGGAGAGAGGGACCACAGAGGTTTCTTTGTTGCTCAGATCTGTGTATGGCTGTGTGCATGTAGGTGTAAGAGGAGGAAAACCGCCTTCTTTGTTCGTCCATTTGGTCTAAAGATGCTCAGTATCCCTTTAGTTTTACCATGATGCTGTTTGAGATTTTCATGACAAGCAAGCACATTGATCATTGATGTCAGTCAGGAATGTTATCAGTTATAGATAAACAGGCAGACTGTTTTCACTCATGTATGCAGCTACTGTATATGGCTTCACTCACCTCACTACTTTTGTCTTTTAGATCTGGAAAGGTTTGGTCTCCAACTGGAATAGAAGAAAACAAGACAAGTCCATTCACCGGAACACTGGAGTCTGAGTCACAGGTATAAAGGCTGCTGCCATAAATCTAATGTATTGGATGCTTTCAAACCCTCACAGCTTCAATTCCATTTTAATTCAAGGCATTTAGCAGATGCTTCTCTGCAGTGAATGGCAGAATTCGTTTAGCTTCACATGTGAGCATGTTGTGACCAACTGATGACTGTTTCTTTGACTGTCTTGACAATTCGTAGAAATATAAACAACTTCACAATGCTGAATTGAGTCTTTAAATCTAAAAAAAAAAACATTACAAAAGCGCCTTCAGAATCTGAGGGCCAGTTGATGTCAAATATATGAATGTTTTGCCTTCTGATCTGTTTTGCATGGAAGCTTGTTTCAGAAAAAAAGTCTGAATTGTGAGATAAACACTTGCAGTTACCTTTTTTTATTTTTTATTCAGTGGCAAAAAACAGGCTTTCATACAATTCGGTCTCTTCTGTCTCTAATAAAGACTGAACCAAAGTGTTATAATGTCGCTCACTTATTAAATATGAGAACAGAAAGTTCAGACTATTATTTTAACAATTCATTTTTAAAGGGGGTCACATTATAAAAGGTATTACATAGACAGTAAAGGCATGATATTTACATTTTGGCATACTTTTTTGTTGATAGCCATTGACTTCCATAGTATTTTTCCTCCGATTCATCCAACCTAAAATACATTCTCAACATGATGCTAAAGCTTTCTTTCTATTCAGTCATGTCATGAAAAATAGCGTATGTCAGATATTTTGTGGTAAACGAGACAGATGGCCTGAAATGGTTTTTGGCCCTGACATAGGAATCGGTTGGGCACTGCACAAATCTGCAGTAAAATCACAGTCACATTTGGCGGCTGTATGTCATAACGTCTATAAAGTGTGTTTCAGTGATTTCCAGAGCAGATGTGTGCCTCATGCTGAGATGTAAGTCATTGTGGCTTTTGCCATGGCCACTGGAAAGTATGAATGTTGAAAGTCTAGAAGAATAGTGATAGAACAAGTCACGTAATTTCCAATGGAAGTAGACACAGCCAAGCATGTGGTAGAGCCAAATCATTTTTCAGAGGCTGTATTAGGGCTGCATGATTATGACCAAAATCATAATTGTCGATTATTCCCTTGAAATTGTAATTGCGATTATTAATTATGATTATCACAATTTACATTGAATGATGTTTATACCATTGTTTGATGCAACTGCATGCCGTATTTTTATATGAAAATAAACAAGCTGAAAACACTCTAACTGAAAAACCTTCAGTGCTTTTCTATAGTATTAAGCCTCAACTATACATCGGATTGGTTTTTTCTTTAAATTATAAAAAAGTAAAAATATGAATGGTATTATAATGTTATACTAAAACTAAAACAATGGGAAAACCCTTAAGATAACATGTAGAAAGAAAAAAACATCTCTTAAGCGTGCAGAATAACATAAGTGGGCTTTGAACGATTAATTGCCGCTTTGAAAGATTACGTAATTGTGGCATCCATAATTGTAATCGCGATTAGAAATTCGATTAATTGTGCAGACCTAGGCTGTATTTTAACCCACACTGTGTAGGTCAGAGCATAACTGAGGTATTGTTTCATTGCTCTGAATTCTTGTTACCTGAGAGTTGTAATATGAGATGCAATTTCTTTTATGAATGGACCAAAATTGCCCATTGCCCGTGATTCGCCGGGCTTTTAAGGCCCTCTTTTATAGCCCTTTTTTTATTATTATTAAATACATGTTAACATTATTATTATTTTAAATCAGAATTGGGTTTAATTCTTGGTGCTTACCTTTTTTATTTGTACTTTTCCAGTCATGTGAGTAATCATTATCAAACCAATATCAAATGTGACCCTGGAGCACAAAAGCAGTCATAAGTAGAACAGGTATATTTGTAGCAATAGCCAACAATACATTGTATGGTTCAAAATTATGGATTTTTCTTTTATGCCAAAAATCATTCGGATATTAAGTAAAGATCATGTTCCATGAAGATATTTTGTACATTTCCTACCATAAATATATTAAAACTTAATTTTTTGATACGCAATATGCATTGCTAAGAACTTCATTTGGACAACTTTAAAGGCGAGTTTCTCAATATTTAGATTTTTTTGCACCCTCAGATTCCAGATTTTCAAATAGTTGTATCTCAGCTAAATATTGTCTTATCCTAACAAACCGTACATCAATGGAAAGCTTATTTATTCATTCAAAATGAATATTATACTATTATGACTGGTTTTGTGGTCTAGGGTCACAAATATTTATCGATCACTCAAGTTACACTTAGAGTCAGTTTGGAATTAATTCGATTTTTAATGTTTAAATAAAGTCCCTTATGATCATCAAGGATGCATTTATTTGATCAAAAATACAGTAAAAACAAAAATGTTGTGAAATATTATTACAGTTTGATCATTCTAATACTGTATATTAATTTGGTGCACACTTATTAATAATGGTTTTTATTATCAGTGATGGAAACAGTTTTTGATACTTTTGAAAGGATTTTTTAGGAATATAAATTTCAAATGAACAGCATTTATTTGAAACAAATCTTTTTGTAACATTATAAATGACTTTACTGTAAATGTTGATTAATTTACTGATCCTTGAATAAAAGTATTCATTTCTTCTTTTTTAAACGTACTTATCCTAAATCTTTAATTGGTAATGTATCGCAGTTTCCACAAAAATATTAAGCAGCAACATCTGTTTTCATCATTGATAATAATAAGAACCATAATTGACCACCAATTATAATTTATAATACCGGTAATTGATATTTATAATATTAATATTAAAATTATGAATATGAACCAGCTCAGCTATTTTCAACATTAATCACTGATAATATTCAGAAATGTTTCTTGAGCTGCAAATCAGCAGAATGATTTCTGAAGGATCATGTGACACTGAAGACTGGAGTAATGATGATGAAAATTCAGCTTTGATCACAGAAATAAATTACATTTTAAAATATATTCACAAGAAAAACTGTGTGTGTGTGTGTGTGTGTGTGTGTGTGTGTGTGTATAAACTACATATATTTCAAATATCTTGCTATGTTTGGTGCATTTTGTGTACTGTAACCTATTTTTTTTATCTTAAATTAAAAATTTTGAATGTATCTTTAGTTGTTTGCTCTGTTGGTGAGGTGGTGAGGTTTTGTAATGCTGGGAGTGTTTTTTTAGTCTGTCAACTGAAGCCATATGGTTTCCATCAGGTCCTCCCTTCACCTTCTATATCTCCCTTGCAGTGCTCAGGTCGATATCAGCCTCCATAAATCAGGGGTCATTTCCCCACAGCAAGCCTTAATTAATAAAAGTAGGCTTGGGGTTCGTTTAGGTTTATTCAGTTCATTGCTAGCAGTTCGAGGCAGTAGCAGGGCGCTTTAGATGATTCTGAATGTTCTGGCTCTGTGGGCAGTCACCCAGAACCAAAGGGCATGCTGGGATAGCATTGTAAAACAGGTCAGTGAAACCTGATGATGGTCAGGATTTATGAGCAGACACAAAAACTCCTCATAAATAATTCCCTGGTCTTTCTGTGTTTCTGCTGGGCCGTCACTGACGATTATGAGGAAACTATCTTTACCCTGCAAAGTTTACTTTAGGAAAGTCATTGCTGTCCGTTTGAATCTCACAAAAATATGTCCAGGTCATATTTCTTTCAAAAAGAAAAACAAGCATTTAAATTTGGCTTTTTTGTTATAATGCATATATTTCGCCGCTTGTTAGGACACGGTACCTCATTTTTGAGTTCAGTATTTTCTCTAGATATGTGGTATAGTTGCATTAATAAATTAAATGCAGTACCACAAATACTACTGATGGTTATTAACCCTTTACAACAAGGTTTCATTTGTTAAGCGTTAACTGCATTAGTTAACACAAACTAACAATGAAAAATACAAATACTTCTAAAGCATGTATTAATCTCAGTTCATGTTTATTTCAACATTTCTTAATACATTATTAAAATCAAAAGTTGTACGTTCATTTTTATTTATAAAAATCAACAAGAGTTATAAATATGTAAGGCTCTAATGGATTAACTAATGTTAACTAATGGGACCTTATTGTGTTTTTTTTTTTGTTTGCATTGTATTGCTTTGCAGTCATTTAAATTGCATTAAAGTATAAGTAAATTGCATTAATAAAAAATACAAATATATATATATATATAAATTCTTATTTCTTTAATAATACATATTTCTTTACATTTTTAATTTGTAAACCTTTTATGGGCCGATAACACAGGTGAGGTTGGTTAGATCTGATGAACCACACTGTTTTTAAACTAGTTGTCTGAAAAGGTTGTCATGTAATATTTCCTCTGAAGTCGTGATAAACGTGGCCTGTAAAAGCAGAGTTTGTTTCGACGGCTGCTATTTCAGTGCTCCTCTAAATTCAATGTACTGCAGAATAGGTTAAATAAATCAATTTAATGAGACAAAAGCCTTATCCAGATTTATTAAATAACAAAAATGTAAGCTTATATAGTGACAATATACGGTTAAAAAGGTACAGAGGTACAAATGAATGGCTTTCAGTGTTAGACTAGAAAACTGGTACTTTTATAAGCTATACACCAGATGTGTAGACTAGTAAATCTGCCATTTTTATTGCAGTTACACCCTTTTGTGGCAGACATGTGAAGTAAAGGAGCGTGCATCAACACAGAGGTCCTTAACGGCTAGGTTTTAGCAACAAGATGATTTCTGCCAAACTTTTCTCTATAGAAATGCCTCTGGATGCTGCGTCCTCAACAGGGCTGTAAACATTATCTATAGCAGTCTGTGTGTTGGTCTAGTTCAATTTATGTTCCCAGAGGTTTTCAGTCTCTGCGTTTCCTTCCCAGTAAAATCTGCATTGGTCTGAATTGTAACTGTTTTCAAATATTAAAGGGGTCATATGATGCGATTTCAAGTTTTCCTTTCTCTTTGGAGTGTTACAAGCTGATTGTGCATAGATAAGATTGTTTTGTTACTAGTTTAAGTATTTGCTATTGACTGTTCAAATGCGGAGTTTTGCGCATCGTGTGTGTGTGTGTGTGTGCGCGCGTGTGTGTGTGAGACAGAGAGAGAGAGAGACAGGGTGACATCACAGTAGAGTCAGCTGTCGTAACCGTGGCTTGTGTACTGCAAACACATACCAGCTTCATCACAGTGTCTGTCACGCGACTCTGTTCCCCTTTCGGGCTTGAACTGATGGTAAAACTAATGACATTAGTTTCTTTGTGCTGTCTTTACATTTATTTTGAAAGATGAAGCTGCGATTATGGTAAGGGGCATTACATTTCCGACGAGTGCTTGCGGTGTTCGGCCAATCACAATGCACTGGGTCAGCTGGCCAATCAGAGCAGACTGCGCTTGTCGGAAGGAGGGTCTTTGTAGAAAACGAAGCGTTTGAGAGAGGTGGGACATAGAGGACCTACAATAATGTACAGTATTTGAAAAATAATGTGTTTTTTGAACTTTAAAGCATGTCAACATATTCTGTTACACCAAATACACAAAATAATGATCTTTAAAAAAGCATCATATGACCCCTTTAACATTTTTATATGCTTTAGATAACCATAATGTTTCTGTTCACTTCAGTGTTAATCAGCGTGTGGCAGAATCATTGTCCAAATACTGTAAAGCAAACAGTGTTTATAATTATAAAATAACAAATGTTTAAATATGATGATAAATGATCTGCTGTTAAGGTCTAACCAATCTTGCCCGTTTCAAGACCACAGTCTGTAAATTTGTGGCATCTGATCTGCTTTGTGAAGTTTGATTTTTGTGAGGTTTTGCCTTCATGCTTTTCCAAGATTTTATAATGATGCTAAAATATACTTTGTACCAATATATTTTTGTTTTATAATTTAAAAATATAAATATATTTTTAAAATCATTTAAAAATATAGTTTGTTCTCTAAATAATTACCAAAATATATTTAGAAGTATTTCCATATTTGTTAAAGGATATTTCAAAATACATTTACGTACTGTATATATGTTCTACCAATATATTTTATGACCATTTTTGTGTTTTAGTCTATAAATATAAATGTATATTTCTAAAAGCATTTAAAATATATATTTTGCCATCTATATATTTTAGTCCATTCACATATGTCACATTTGAAGAAAATCTTTATTTTGTTGTCTGTAACATGTGCGAACATATAACACATAATCCAGTAGGCTATTCCATCACACATTTGCATTTAGCATTTAGCTATTGTAAGATTGGAACTGTATTTTCTTGCCCCTGAAATACATTTTGAAATATATTTTGGTATATGATGGTTGAAACTAAATATATTTTCAATTTCAAAAATAGGTTTAATATATATATATATATAGAGAGAGAGAGAGAGAGAGAGTTCCATGATAAAATGGGTTGGATGCAGCCTTATCATATTTCTAGTTGAGTAGAATTTGATTTGAGGATTTCTGGCGTTCCACAAGTGTCAGGATCTTACCTCATCCTCATGTTACTCATATCTGTATCACAAATATGTTTCTCTATGTATTCCGAACCCAGTTTTTAATGGTCTTCTGCGATAAAAGAGCTTGATTTACTATGACGACATCCTCCTCAATAAGAGCAAGACAAATTTCCACTTTGTGGACATTAATGAAACTAACTAACATTTATTAAGATAAACATGCAAAACAACTCATTCTGAACTTCTGGATATTTCTGACGTTAACTTAATGAATACATTAGCATTAGCAAGCTTATTTTTATCCCTGATCATTTCAGTCTGATCTTTATGTTTGAGCGCCACATTTCTGAGTGCATTATTTTGTGAACCTGCCATGCATTTTTGCACAGAAGCTGGATTGGGATGTTGGAGCTAAAACTGCACTTCATGTACTCTGTCCTATTCATATTCAGTGAGGCTATTTACAAAGATACAGTGGCGAAGAATTCTGTTTTTCACATTATAAGTGGCCCTCAAGGGAACAGATAACATGATCAAATGCATATGAACCTATTAAAGCATTCAGACGCATCGAAATAGTCTCGTACATTGTTTTAAATGAGCTTCTGTCCACTCAAAATGAGAAATGCAATTTTCACACTGACTTGTTGCTCTTGGAACATTTTTTACCATAATACAGAGGGATGTGAGATCTTTTCATTGTCAACAGAAAACAGAACCTCTTCCTGAAAGAGATGAAAATGTGGTTCGCTGCTGTGGAGCTGAAAGACAGAGCCCTGCTTAGATGCCACAGTTTGACTCTCGTGAACGTTCATTCACCCAAAAATGAGAGTTCTGTATTTATTTATTCACCTTCATGTCGTTCCAAACCCAGATAATGTTATTTTTTGGTAAAACACAGTATAGGCTAAGCCATGCATTTTGGAATTGACTCTAAAGAGTTGATTCCTGATTCGTTTTCTTGATTCAGCTCTTGTTTTAGAATCATCTGTTTGTTAATGATGATGGTCCAGTGATTGAGTTGCACCAATCACTAGAACAACAGGCTACATATATCTCATTTTAAAAAAAGGTACACTACCAGTCAAATGTTTGAAATAATTAAGGTTTTTTTAATTTTATGAAAGAAGTCTTTTTGGCTGCATTTATTTGACCAAAGATACAGTAAAACAGTACTACTGTGAAATATTGTTACAATATTGTTGCATAATATTGTTACAATTTAAAACAACTGTTTTCTATGTACTTTTTTTTTTACTTTTATTTAACCAGGCAAGTTAATTAAAAACAAGTTCTTATTTTCAATAACAGCCTGACAGGAGGATTAATATCTCCTGAGAAACATACATACAAACATATATTACAATACATAAAACACATAAAAAAAGGAATAAAATCTCAGTTAAAACATTTACACTAATACATATGCTATTAATATTTATATGATGATTTTTTTATATGGTATAAGCAGCAACCATGTATGTTAACAATATTTTATGTATGCAATGGATAAAAGCATCTGCTAAATTAATAAATATAAATGTATACAAAAATCTGTATGTTTATATGTTTTTGTAATATTTTAAATCCATCTTTCTGTACTGCTTTACATGTACTTACAGGTTTTAGGATGGATGTACATGTGCATGTCTTAAAATCTATTACAGATATCTTAAAAATGCATATTTATATAGGTTAGAGATATATGTTATTTCTTTCCATTTCTAATAGATTTCATATGTGTTTACTTCATATGACAATGTAGTTCATATATGGAAATTTAATATATGTACATATTACATTTGGATATGGGATAAAAAATTGAACAGCACAGTTGCAAAATGTAGACAAATTTGCTACCATTCCTTCAGAATTTTCACCAGAATTGATTAATGATTGTTTGAACTTGACGTAGATTAACGGGCCTGGTATTTCTGGCATGCAGAGTTTTGAATTTGGCAGACATTCATACTGAGAAAAAGTTTCTTCTTTTCTCAGAATTAGTCTTCAAATAAGCTACTTCAGACAAACTGTTTACCAAAAAAAAAAAAAAAAGGCATCTCTACTCCGTCTGCAAACAGTAACTCAAATATGTTTCCTTAAATGATTGCTGATGTCATAAAATGTATGCTATAGAATAGATTGTATTTAAGCGTTGAGTTGACCAGAGGGGAATGTGTATGATGGGAATTTGTGTGCAACTGTCAATATTTACATATTTGTAAGTAAGCTGTTTATTGGGTGCATGTCAGATGTGTAAACTTGTCAAAGGCTGTTTTACTGTTCCAGTCATGGATCGTGCTGGACTCGTACACAATTCGGTAGGAATGTAACGATTCACTCAACTCACAATGAGATACGATTCACAATACTGGTTTCACGATACGATTTTATCATGATTTTTTTAACAAAATCAAAATTTAAGACAAATTATAAATGAAAATGCTGTCAAAATGCTGCACATTTCTTTGTGAAATTTAAATATATTTTATGTCAAATAACACACATTTTAAAACAAATCCTAAATCAAATAAATATATAAATGAATAGTACAAATAAAATAAATGTTTTCATATAAACATAGGCTTTGCCTATGCTCTTTCCAAGCTTGGATTGATTTATTTATTTATTTAAGAAATATCAGCATGTCCACATTTTACATCAGAAAATGGACCTAGTATAGAAAAAGCATTTAAAGCAAAAACAGAATGGTCCAACTTTAGCTTTGTGAAATTATGCTACATAAAAGCACACAGGCTGAATGAGATGCAGATTCACTCTCTGCCAGCAGGTGGCGCTTATGGAACAGCAGAGATACAGCGTTTCTTTGGTTACCGCTGTAAACAAAGCAGCGCTGCGCTTATAAGAACTACTTTAATATGCATTATACAGAGACAAGATGAAAGAAAATACCATCGAAACTCTACTGAAGACAGTTAGTTCTCCTCAGAGATACATTCATATAAACCCACACCCAACGGTATCGCGATTCGTTTAACATCTCAACCGACTTGAATCGTCACATTTTCATCGATTTTCAACCGGCTCAGGGTGCATCATTACATCCCTACAATTCAGACAGGATTTGCTTTTAGTAAAACAGTGGATCATTTGCTTTGGTATTTTGACATTTTTGGAATTCAAATCACTTTTTTTTTCACAGACCTTTCGACCAATCAGCAGCGGCTATAGCCCCACTCCCAAGAGTCCATCCCCCAAGAGTCCCATCACAGCCACTGTGCCCTACAATAACGGCAACTCCAGACCTATGTACAACAATCCAGCAGGCCTGTATTCACACAATAACGGAAATGGTGCCCTACCGAAGCAGATGGCAGGCCTCAGCCTGGGCTCCACTCACAGGTGAGCCATTTCACAGCTTTTCACACATGCACAGGAATAAAGCATTTTTCTTTGGAATAACAATTAGACAAAGCACGCTAGGTAAATTAGGTCAGTTCTGTACACTGCTAACTTCTAGCCAGCACAAACCACACTGCTCTTGCAATGGCCAGAAACTGATATTTATGATCCTCACAAGGCTGTGATTTATCAAGGAAGCAATTTTGAGCATCTTTCCCATGTTGGAAATCTACAGCACAGGTCCTGTCTTCACTCAGAGCACTACACAACAATAAACACTTCAGACTGAAAGATATTACAGCTCTTCATGCCATTGTTATGAAAAAATGAGTTCATGTTAGAACTGGATAGTGAGTGAAGAGTCTTCAGGGAACATCTGCTGCACTGATATTTGCAAAACACCCTTGAGTTTTCTGAAGCACTATGTTAGTTAAGGGTGATAGAGAAGCATTTGATTACTTGCAAATCCCACTGTTTACTCTGAAGATGATAAATCCACTGTTTATGAATTCCTCCTGTACTTAAGGTAGAAGTTGTCATAACACTGATCACTCTCATGGAAACTTCCAACAGGAAAATCCTGCTGTGTACTTGGAAAAAAACCTCAGTACCTTCAAAGGTCTTAATGCATACTCATTCTTTATTATTAGGGTAATTCTTGTTCAAGTTAATTGTTGCGTTAATTGTAACTTTTAGCTATTGTTATTTATTGATTTCTGCAATTGTATCAGTTCATTAAGACAAACTAAAATTCATCAGATCTGTTGATTATAGATTAATTGATAATTGATTGTGCTGTTATTTTCTAATTATGAAGCATGTCATTTCTGGGAGTAACATCAGGGAAATTACTCTTAAAGGAATATTTCAAAAGTCCTAACAGGTGGAAAGTGATACCAGAAATATTTCCTCATGCCAGAAATAACTCCTCGAACCCCAAAAGTAGTAAAACTATTTGTAAGTCACTTCTATTTTCACATAATTGTGATATTGTGATAAAAAATAATAAATATGATTTACAACTTTAACAATTGCAAGTTTAGTACAGTATGCAGCTTTACTGTGTTTACACGTTTGATTTGTAACTAATGTGTTGAGAATTTTTAAACTAATTACATTGGCTTCCATTCCTTCAGCTTTTATAAATAGCTTGATGCACTGAGAAAGTGTTTGAAAACATATGGCAATAGCAGATGTTTCTGGAAGAGAAAGAGATCTGGATGTGTTTTCCTCTCAGTTTCAGCCCTGAACTGCCAGTGAATTCATCAGGCAACCCCAATGGTTTCGACACGCAGTCAGACGTCTACAGGATGCTTCAGGACCATGAGGAACCTGTGTCAGCTCCCAAACAATCTGGCTCCTTCAAATACCTGCAGGGAATCCTGGAAGCTGAGGATGGGGGTCAGTTTTACTTTGATTTATTTCTCTCTCAAAATGTATGTTGAAATTGTTATTTACTGGTCATGTCCTATATAGTCTTTTTTCTGAGTACGCGATTTAAAAAATGGATATATCATATGTTTTTCTGTAGTTTTATCAGTTGTACCTTTAAGTCTAAATAACTTGCATTTTTCTACTCATGTGAAATAAATTTAATATTTGCACTTCCAAATATTCAAACATTAATAAACATTCTGCTAGAAAGAATGTCATGCAGGTTTAGAATAACATGAGGGTAAATAGTGACAGAATTATTTATTCATTATTTAATTATCATTATTTAATTCCTTTGAATAATTTGGGTTTCTGATATTAGAATTACAAGGATTTTGGATCCAAGTTTTTGCAGCTTATTTGGATTTAAATTTTTTTGGACTGATCATAGTAAACTGAAACCTTTTAATTCAAAAGTCCAAACATCACTCTAAAGTATGGGCCGTTCATGAGTGAAATCTCAGATTGACTGAATGGTGAGTTGCCTGCACGCTTGCAATGTTAAGCACTGTATATCTGCTTTTAATTGTAAATAGTCTTTGCAATTTGTTCATCCATATCGAGAGTGAAAATGTTGTCCAATGTGGCACACAGTTTTACTAGCAGTTTGCACCAGCGCAAGACCGTTTTTGGGGTTAAAATCTGCTGTCAGGATTTTACTAAAGACATTAGCAAAAAAGCATGGACTGAAGTTTTTTGCAGCTGACCTTGTAAATATGCATTTGTAGGAGTTTCCCTTTGAGACACAACATTTATGGAAGGAGAGGATTTAAATGCATGCAATCTTGATTTACAGTAGTCAGTTTTTGCACCATTATTTAACACCTCAAAAAGCTTTGTCTTTACCCATTTTGTGCCTGTGTTGTTAGCAGATTACCTGCACCTGATTGTCATTGGCTCTGCTTGTTTGTGCTGCTCTTGATAGATTGCATTGGTTATTATGGAAATGACCTTTGCTGCATCTGTGTTCATTTGAGCATTGTCAGTAAATCGACTGCAAAACTTTCCACTCCCATCTGTTTTAATGTGATTGCGGTCTCATGCTACTTTATTCTGTTTAGTATACCTTAATGTTTAATATACATTTATGTGGAGCAGGATTTTGGAACATTGAGATTGAACAGTGGTCAACGCTGCAGAAACAGAAATATATATTATATATAACAATCTAGTAAAATTTTTTATTTTTGCAAGTTTTATTTATCTGATACATAAACGCTAAGGGGCTGTTCACACAGAACGCTTCTTGCTGTCTAAAAACGTGATGCGGAATGGTTTTTAAAAAAAGCACAGCACAGAATGCCTCCTCCGCCATGTTGGCATTAAATAAAACAGTTGCCATGCCAACTTGCTACTGTAAACAAAAGCTTGCAATGCTTGTCCCGCCTCCAGGGTCTTCTGATTGGTCCATTGTTTTGGAACTGACATTGATGAGTGGCGCTGCATATAAAAAGTTGAAATTCTTTTAACTTGAGTGTCTTAAAAATGTTGGAAAAGATGTGAAATGCAAGCGCAGCGGTCATACACGTCAGTCTACCACGTTTACATAGAAAAATAATGGAAGAGTAGCGCATTGGAATGGAAAAACGCATTCTGTGTGAATGGCCCCTATAGATTCCACTTAGGGTGAGAGCAGTAAATTAGGTAAAACAGATACTGTATTTACACAATAATTAATGAAATTAGAGAAATGTATGCAAGTCTATGCAGCGAATTTACATGAATCTACATTAACTTTTCACATCAGTATGTGCAAAGGGAACAATAACAACTGTGATGCAGCGTTTTATCACAATGCTTTGCTATTTGCTTGTTATATGCTACACTATTTTGAAATTGTCATGCTACTTAAAAATGTATTCAGTAAATGCACTGGATTTTTTGGGGGGCTAGATCACTCTGTAGTCTCTTGCAGGCCAAAAAGCCCACAAAATCCTGTTCTTTATGTCATATAAGCCCAGAAATGTGTTTTATCTAAGCCTGATCCCGTAGAGAGGCTCCTAGACTGCACTATACTTACACTTTGCACTCTCTCGCACACTGAATTAAAGCCCCGTGGAGCCACAGGGCTCAGAGATCAAGTGTTTAAGTGTGTAATTAGTGGTATTCGTTGACGGGTTTGGAGTTGTAACCTGTCCCAGCAGTCGTTGGGAATAACACAGAGTTAATGATCTCACTTTGGCACAGCAACAGTCAGATGACGGAGGCGGGCACCATTGTAACATTTATCCGTCAGATTTTTCTCGGATGTTTCCTGATCCAGCAGCAGGGTGGTTTTCTCCACTGAGCTCATGCTACGCCGGCCCTGGTTTTAGACTCGGCTTGAAATGGAGAAGATAGGAGGAGGCCTTGGCAGCTGTGCTCCATACTTGGCCCAAGCCGTGCCCTGAAGCTAACACACACCCGCGATTTTCAGCTACGCCTGCATGGAGAATAGCATCTGACCTGGGACTGAAGTGTGAAGGACATTCATTTCCAGCCATCTCTTGTTCCAGGGACAGCTGCTGAGTGCACATTTTGAGTTATTTCTCACTTTTTAAAGCAATAGTTCACCCAGAAAAGAGAATTGTTCAAGAATGTTATCTGAAGAGCGAATTTGTATGTGAATTAATGGAACAGCATATTTGGAGACAGTGTTGGGGAAAGTTACTTTTAAAAGTATTGCCTTACAATATTGCAATACTTACTTTCTTTTCATGGGAAGTAATTATTATGTTACATTTGCATGACTTTTTCTCGTCTGGCCTGGGCTTGCTTGTTTGTTTTTAATATAAAAAAGTTCTATTTTTGGCAAATGTAAAAAACCCTTTCACACCAAAAGTGAAATGAATAAGCCACAGGCTGAAGGAATTAAATACATAAAGGATTTTTGTGTTAACATTTAATTACTGCAGGTTTGTTTCATATTCTGAGTTTGCATCTCACTGTTTTTATTCATTTTGAAGAATACTGAATCGTTTTTGTGCGAGTGAGATGAGTAAATGCATGTTCACATTTAGTCTAGAACTACAGTAACATGTTCACACAGCGCACACAACGCTCTGCACTTCTGATTTCTCTCAACATGGGACATGAGAGCTGTCAGTCAATACATGGGGAAACAAAGTAATGACAGTACATATCTGAAAAAGTAACTTAGATATGTTCTTGTAAGTTAAAAAGTAATGCATTACTTTACTAGTTACTTGGAAAAAGTAATCTGATTACGTAACTCATGTTACTTGTAATGCTTTACCCCAGCACTGTAATTTAATACACACAGTGGAGAGACAAAGTTAGTGGAGACGTTTAGGAGAAAGGAAGAGCAACAATTAACTTAGATAGTCCAGTAATGCACCTTATTTTGCAATTTTCTTTGAATGTGTCAAACTAACAAATCATTATCTGCTATAGGTAAATAATTACAGAGAGCAGTAAATGTTTGCACTATGAACCACTGTGTTATAATGAATTAAAATAATATGAACAGATATCATATCAAACAGCATAACGAACTATTTTTGCTGTTCATTTTATATGAATTACACTGTATTTCTACATGGTCTAAATTTCTGCATCAAAATTTCCCACCGGCTTTTTAACAAATCACACAACCTCCACTGCTCTGTCATTGAAGAAACATAACAGTCAACTTGTGACCTGATAGCCAATTGCATTACAGCCTTGACTTCACTGAATTGCTCTCAGAGTTGTGCGACAGACAACCACTGTTTGCGGGCACCAAAGAAATGAGAAGTGTCATACAGTGAAACCAACCTGTTGCAAAATTGTCCATTACTTCTCGTACAGTATAAAACAGCTTTTTTCTTTTTTCATTGTAAACTCAAAAACAGATTGTTTAATGGCAAACATGTTGAAGATTAGTCAGCAGACTAAGAGTTGATTCATTAAGCTGGTTCCACCACTGACATCCATTCAAAACAACCATCAAAATACCCGACTACTTAGTCAAATTACAGCCCATAAGATCCGCCCATAGGTGTTGATTGACATGCCTGCCATAGCATGTCATTTGTATTTGCTTTGTTGCTTGTATCATCAGTGCTTCATCAGCTGAGCATTTAGTTATATTAAATCATGACTGTTTTACTGAGTTAATTATGAAAATGAAATATTAAATACAGTTCTGTCATGACAACTCTCGGAGGGATTGGCATGGTAACATACGTGACAATGTTAATGTATTTGGTCTTGGCGGAAAAGCTCTGCTATGCTGCTGCTGCAAGTACCGAGACTTGCTACTGCCAATACATCCACAACATGCTGCTATGAGCATGTAAGAAATACTGCTGCTGCAAATATAACATACATGAAATAACCCCCATATAGCATACACGAATTACCTTGTAGCAGATCTATACAGGTGGAGCTGGGGAAGGTGGAGGGTTTCTGAAGCAAGCTGCAACTGCTACGGCAAGCACTAGTCATATATTTGAATGTTGAGCAGCGAGCTCATTGGCTACCGATACAGGAGAGAACCAATCAGCTGTGCCATGTGATAATGATGTCATTAGGTCAGATTGAGTTAGACCTATCGGACTGCGCCATCTAGAGTTTCATGCCAGAACTCTGTATTTCATATTTCATTAAAGTTTATGCTGCCCCAGTATGAGGAAACGAAATTGAATTTGAGTGTTTGAATTATCATTTGAATTTTGTTTAAAATTTTCGAAAAAATGCGACTTCTTTAAAGGGGTCCTGTCATGCTTTTTCACTTTTTCAACCTTCCTGTCTTAGTTGAATAGTTGATTACTTTCTGTATATGAGCATGTCATATTCTGTGCACTTGACTTGAGCTTATTTTCCTTGCAGGGGTCTCACCCGTGGACAGACATGGGGTCAGAGGCTTGCGTTCCCCTGTCAAATCCCCCGTGCCAAAGCTGGGCAGCCCCATTACGGCTCCTCTGGCGCCCATCCCCGGCTTACAGAAGCTGCCACAGTGCACACGCTGCGCAAACGGCATTGTGTAAGTGTGACGTTATGCTTCTTATCGGTTTGTTTAAATACATAGAGAAAAGCCCCCAAATGAACATTTAGTAAGACATTAGATAGTATTGCATAGACATAGCAAATTACTTTGGAAGCCCATGTGTTTGTTTCCATATCTTTGAACACGAGCCTACAAGCTTTAACTTGCTGTCAATGAAAGACTTTAACAATAGTGGCACGTTCATTGAGTATGTAGTTGTTAATGAAGCCGGAGCTGCTGCAGCATGTGTTCCTCCCGCTGCACAGGTGATCCAGATATTACTGTAAGTCACTCTACCGCTGTTGGCACTTTCCCACAGTTTCCACTAAAACTGAGTAAACAGTGAGGTCATATGATAAGGAAGTTCCACAGAAGAGTGAAACAATGTGTCCATTGTAAATGCTGTTGACAGATATTATAGCTTTCAAATATGGGACTGTTCATTGAGATTAATAAAAGGAAGTGGATTCCCAGCTAATAAAAAAAAAAAATGTTCTGAAAACATTTTCTTTAAGTTCTAAAATGTTCTCTGAACATGCAAAACGTCCAGTTTTGGAAATGTTTTAGAAACGTTTAAGTGAACTTTAAGAGAACATTACATTTCATTTTTTGCAACATTATGGGAATATTTGGTATTGGGTACATTATGGGTAACATTTAAAAAAAAACACATTTCAGAAATGTTCCATGAACAATGTATAAATAATGGTTTTGTGCTGACGTTTTTAGAACATCATTAAAGACCAGATAACTTTGAACGAACGTTCCATTAACGTTACCGCACAAACATTTGTTCATAATGTGCGGGAGAACCTTGTACTTTCCCTGATAGCTGGGTTAGTGATATGGATTCAATCAGCCGTCAGGTTCACATAACAGACATTTGTCCAGAACAGTAGCTTTCTGTTTCTGTTTTAGGTTGTGTCAGATTAGCCAGGAATTTACCGTTTACTCTGTTACTGATCAAACATTATCTGGCTAATCCTGCTTTAGAAATTGTTGCTGTCTGCCATATTATCATATAAGCCTTTTTTTTCATACAAGTCTATCCATACGAAGTCTGTAGTATTGGAATCGTTTTTAAATTATAGTCAAACATTTCTGTAGGTGAACACACTGAAAAAAGTTAAACAACTGTGTCACTTATTTCAAGTGCATTTTATATTGGTCTAACTGAAAATCATGGTTTTCTGGTTTAAACCAGTTTTGTTCAGTTTGTCTAAAAGCAAATAGCACTTCCTCATAGAAAAATGAAAAGAAACCAGTTTTGTTGTTGATGCATATTTTAAAAAGAAATCACAGTAAAGCTTGTTCAAAGTTGTCTTTATTTATACTAAGTAAACTAAATTAAATAAAAAATAGTTTCAGTAAATAATAATGAGCACTCTACTTTCATATTATAGCTATTTCTTGTGTCTAAAGCAGATATAAGTAGGTTTTCTATAACTTTTGTTTTTACTTTGTATGGATGTTTTTGAAAAAGAACAATTTTGAAATCAAATTTGAAAAGTTTGTAAGGAAAATGTACTTGGATACTGAAACATTTATAAAGCATAAACACTTAAAAATGTTTTTAAGATTTGTCCTTAAAATCCCAGAGCATTAAAGTATAATAAGTGACATTTAAGAACTGTCTTATCACAGGGGAACCATCGTGAAGGCCAGAGACAAGCTCTATCACCCCGACTGCTTCGTGTGTGATGACTGTGGGCTGAATCTAAAGCAGAGAGGATACTTCTTCATCGATGAGAATCTGTATTGCGAGACGCACGCCAAGGCCCGTGTGCAGCCTCCGGAGGGCTACGACGTGGTGGCCGTGTATCCTAACTCCAAAGTGGAACTGGTCTAAGCACACACACACACTCGTTAACCCAAACACACACACACACAGGTTTTCCTTGAGGATTCAGCTTGGCGAAGTGGAAATGAGAATAACAAACTGAAATTTCTTTTTCAGTCCCTGCTCAACTTTAACCTGGACTCTGTAGTTTGTTAACCTGCAGTTAACCTCATACTGAAATCGAGCAGCACTTATTCCTAGGTTAGACAGCCTTCCTAACATTCGTTTGGTGTTGCTTTAAGAGGAAAGTTTGAAACGCAAGATAACAGAATAGACAAAACAACATCTGTTCACCTAAATTCCAGTGGCACACCAGCGATTTATTTTTCTGAAAGCTGTGGTGAACTGAGGTGCTCGAAAAGACCACGAAGAATGTCTCGAGCCATGTGGAAAATGGAAATGGTGGTCATTTATTCAGAAAGTTTGGGACGGTGTGTTTATTCTTTGGCTAAGAAGCCAAGACGTGTGTTTTTTGGGGGTTTTTCCGATGATCTAGCTTCTATCACCAAATCCAACTTTATCTTTGCCGTAAACCAAAGAAAAGGAGACCGCATTAGGAAAACTGCATTTGATTGGCTCTAAGCAAATTTATGCTATATGCATGTTGCATGTGATTGTGGCACAGATGTTTCTAGATAACTCTATCACACCTCCTTGAGTACTGATGTCCGTTACTGCCACAGTAATGCAAAAAAACACGTTATGTACAATAGCGCCACACGGTCCAAATGTGTTGGCCAAGCAATTCTGACTGCGTTTGCATATTTGCGTACTGATGTGATTTAAACTAGATTTATTTTAATGGTTTGGATGACTTCATGTAAAACGAAACCAGAATAGTAAAGTAGATATGCTTCTATTTTTTGGGGGGGGCTTTTCTTTAAGTGGTGAGGCTTTTGTAAATTCTGTAAAAAATGAGAAATGTTTGTCTTTCTAGTTTCTTATGAATTATATATATGTGTGGGTTTTAAAAACGTGTAACACATAACTCTACTTTGTTGTATTAAGGACCTTCTGTAAATAATTTGAATGCTAACAGATCATCTTTCAACAGAATACAGTTACTTATAGTCATTTGAATGTAATAATTTGTCATTCCAAGCCCTTCTGACTTTCTTCTGTGGAACACAAATGAATAATGCTCATGGTGTACAGATGCAGTTAAGCTACTAAAAAGCAGCATGAAAGTATTATAAAAATAGTCTGTATGGCTTGTGTGCTGCAGTGCGAGTTCTCTGAAGCCATATGATAAAATTGTGATAAAAAGACCAAAATTGAAGTCATTATTGTGTTGCAGGACTCATATTCCATTTTCAAAACTGCTGATAATCACACTGGTTTAACTGTTTATTTATTCTTTAAATTTTGTGACTGTTTCTCAATTACAGTCATGAATGTGTATGCAAAGTTTCGACGCACAGAAGTAATAGAGTATAAATTGAACCCCATTGGTTTCCAAAAAAATTGCCAAAAATCGACCATTTGGAAAACAGCAAATAGTCAGGTTAAAAAATATATATATATATGTAAGACACACTCTGCATTAATGACCAGCATTAAAATCTTTCACTGCAGTTGGCCTGCTTCTTCAAAGCACTTCATGCAGACATAAGTTTCCATGGTTTAAATGAGCTTGTTTTCTTGAAGTAAGTTCACCCAGCTGAGAGGTTTGTATGTAAAATGAGAGGGGTTTGTGTTTTCAGCTGTCAAGGTCAAACTGTACTTCTGATGCATGGCTCTCGCTCAGTGGCCTCTTCATAATCAGAAGCAGAACTAGTTCTGCACTTCAGTTGCTTTTCACATTCCATTTCTACTTTTTCTCTACCCCTCACCATCTCCAACCACAACGAGGGCTGTTGCAGTTCCTACTTGTGAAATAAAGTGACTCAGTCTAAAATGCGCAGTGGTTAATATTGCAGCAAACCCTCGGACTCTCCATCACTTTTGCCAAGCTTGACTCAGTGAATGTTTCAGGTCGGGTCATGCTAAAAATATTGTGGAGCATGTTGGTACTAAATACTGAGGCGGTTCTTCTCAAAACTTTGCGGTTAAGGGTGTAACAAAAACTGAAATGAACTGGGATTACAGATTATAGGTTTCTGCTAATGAATAATGACATTTCTCCCACCGTGTTGATGTAGGACCCCATATGTATAGCTTATACTTTTTAACACTTTTATTACACTCACATTTGACAAATAATTTAACTGTTAAACAAATATAATCTATGATTTAAAACTGTTAAACAAATATAATAAAAGCATTGACTCGCACTCTAAAAAATGCTGGGTCAAATATGGACAAACCCAGCTATTGGGTTGTTTTGACCCAGCGGTTGGGTTACTACCCAGAAGGTTGGGTTAAACATTTAACCCAACCGCTGGGTCAAAACAGCCCAAGTGCTGGGTTTTATTGCTGGGTTTCCATATCTGACCCAGCACTGGGTTGTATTTAACCGAGCATTTTTTAGAGTGTATAATTCAAATTAATGCAATCTTATCCCTCTGGGCTTCTTCATTTGTGGGCCACATCTGATATGGTCAAAAGTGACCAAAGCTTTTTAATTTTTTTCAGGAAAATCAATCTAATATATTTTTGACAATAATATTTTTCATTATTATTTAGAATTTTGGGGGGATTTTATTTTATGCTACTATGCAATATTTATACAATTTTATGAGCTATTTTTACCATTATTTTTTTCGTATTCTTTCGCATTTCCCATTCATTTCCTATGTTGGTCATTTTTTACCAAGTTCATCCAATTCTGATGAAGCAAAAAAAAAATTTTAAATCCATTTATTTCCCATATCCGTAATTTTTGACCATGAAAGTGTTACTTTTTATTTTTTGACCCTTTAACATATCCGAATTATGTCCATGATTTTTTTGTATATTCACATAGCTAATGCAACAAAAGTTACCAAGTATAATTTCATTCCGATGAAGCTAAAACAAATGTTAAATGTCAAAATGTTACATTTTTCGGTCAAAAGTGACTGTAGAGGACCAGAGGATTTTAAAGGGTTAGTTCACCCAAAAATGAAAATTCGGTCATTAATTACTCACCCTCATGTCGTTTCAAACCCGTAAGACCTTCGTTCATCTTCGGAACACAAATTAAGATATTTTTGATGGAATCTGAGAGCTGTCTGGCCCTGCATAGACACCAATACAACTGAAATGTTCCCAAGTCCAGAGACGTAGCAAGGAGATCTGTAAAATAATCCATGTGACATCAGGGGTTCAACCGTAATTTTACGAAGCTATGAGAATACTTTTTGTGCGCAAAAGAAAAAATAATAACGACTTTATTCAACAATTCATCTCCTCCACGTCGGCCTGTAGCGCCATTTTGGAGAGTATCAGCTGAACGTAAACAATGTATGCTGTTCTGTGTCAGCTGCGTCATGCCGGATCTGTTTCCTACGTTGTTGTGATTTGATCTGAACGAAAACAGCATATCCGCGTGACGCAGCTGACACAGAACAGCATACACTGTTTACGTCCAGCTGATATTCTCCAAAATGGCACTACAGGGTGACGGGGACGAGATGGATTGTTGAATAAAGTCGTTTGGGTGAACTAACCCTTTAAGGCTAAAATATCCAATTGTGAGTCAATAGCCATGTCTTAAAACTGTAGAAAGTTCTGTGGTTGCTTAGCTAGATAAACAAATAATATTTCAGACCTTCTTAGGAATTTCTCTTTTGATAATTTCATGAACGCACCCCCTGACTTCTAAAGCACCAGGAAGACTGCTAGTGAACTGCATGATCACACTGCACCTTCCGCGAGACTAGCATCAAACATGGAAATGTATGATCATTTCAGCGGGGTCACTAGTTTTGAAACGTCGGAAAGATCCGCTGGGAGATCCAGAGGCATGCATACAGAAGCAGATCTCTCTTGTGCTGAGTCAGAGAGTGCTGGCAGCACACTTCTCAAGACCAAGTTTGGACAAAACTGTGGAAGGCAGATGTGGAGAGGGCTGGGATGGAGTACGGTTTAGATTAAGAGCAGAAAAATAGAAGCAGATATCTGAAGATCTTCCTTTGCAACATGGCTAAAAATAAACCAAAAGCCTTGTGTGTTGTAAAAACCATCAGCAAGCGTTATACAACCATCAGAAGAACTCCTGAAGGCCAGATCCAAGTCACTCCATATCTGTGCCAAGACTACAACAACTAGTCAGGAATATAGTGAATTATGAGCATATACCAGAACATTTCATAGGTCACAAATATGCTTAATAATGTGTTCTGGCATGTAATATAATAGTAACTGCAATAGTAGAATTTATCATACAAGACAAGAAGCAAACAGGATTTGACGAGAAAGTATTTAAGAGTTAAAGAGTATTTCCTTGCTTTAGTGTAGTGTCATGGAAAAGTTAACGGGAAAGGAAAAGCCATTTAATTGTTTCATTATTCATTTTAACAACTGGTACCTGACATAGAACTGGAAATCCAGCATAGTGATCTCTATATTTGATCATTTTTACAAAAATCTTTTCCCCAACGAATGACTGGAAACCTCTGAAATTTGTTGGTGAAAAGAGAGGGAACTTCGTCTAAAGCGGCCAAAGGCACAATCATTGAGTTTTTCTCTTTCTTTACTGTATTTGTGTGTGACAAAATGGCAAACATATAGCAGAGCAAACCGCGGTATAATTAGTGGTTTCACAGAATCCAACATCCAGCGGCTTCTCAAAACAGCTCATAAGATGTCATCATCTTACTAAACAAAGTTCCCAAAGTGTGCTAAAGGAGGTCATTAGAGGCAATAGGAGGGAAACCCCTGCTCTCCCAAGCTATAATAAAAACAATAAATGTTCTTTCATGTATAGTCAGAATAACCAGCCAGATACCCGGGTTGCCAAGTGCACGGTTTCCCTGCAGAACTTTTAAACTCGGTTTTTGTTTCACAGATTGCATCGAAAAGTTTGCATGAACATATACACGCTTCCCAGGGTATGGTTTTGCAAACAGAGGGACTGTGTGTGTGCTTTGAGAAAGTGTAGGGTTTTGTTCTGTTTGGGCTTCAAATAGTAAATGAAGGGCCACATAGTGAAGTCTCAGCCTCAGACAGTTGGCTGAATGTCTGACGCACAAGACACAAAATGGCAAACACTTAAAGGTCCCCTGAAATGCTTAGAAACACGCAGCGTTCTACATCCCCCCTCTTTTAGTGGAAAACAAAGTAACAGTGCAAAAGACAAAATTAAATCAGACCAACAACATAACATATGAATAACAAAAAACAGGTGCAAAAAGGGGGAACACACCTGACTGCACAATATCACCTAACAAGAATAACATGCATAAAGGAACAGAGATTTATAGCACATTTCAATCAGGTCATAACATAGTCTTTGTAACATTGGTTAGGACGGCTGACTCTTCCAGAACGCGTCACCACTGAACATTTGCCATCTGTGTCACTGTAACAGTCCATTTTAGGGGACTGTGGTTGCTGCATGGACCCCTCAGAATTGGGTGGTGTTGCGAGTGCCCCAGCATGAGTCACTACTGGGAGATCATCTTCAAAGTCAGCTGGAGGGGATTCTGAAACATGGAGGAGATGTCGCCTGTTCCTGATATACTTGGCACCTTGTGATGTAACGACATAGCTATTTGGTTGCTCGGCAGGGGAATTCACTATTGCTAGTCTGTCAAAACCATGTGCTGTCTGCATCCTGACGGTTTGCCCTGTCTTGAGTGCAGGGAGCTGGTGAGCATTTCTGTCATAATAGTCTTTTCACCTCATTCTCCGTTTTGTGATGGTTTCTTTCACGTCTGTGTGGACAACAGGCTGAAGCATTGCCTTGGTCACCGGGAGGAAGGTCCGTGTTTGCCTAGAGAAAAGGCATTGTGCAGGGGACGGTAAACCATCCCGGGGAAGATTGCGAACATGGAGAAGAGCAGCACGGATGTCAGTATGGTCACGGTAGCATTTTTCCAGAAGGTGCTTGGCAGATCTGACTGCACGCTCTGCCAGCCCATTGGATTGGGGATAGTGAGGGCTGCTGCGAACATGCTTAAAGTCCCATGTGTGTGCAAAATCTGCGAAATCCTTGCACACAAATTGAGTAGCGTTATCTAAGTTACTCTAAGTTAGAGTGTGTGGAATACCATGTACTGAAAAATGTCTTTTCAACTTCGCATTGACTGTGCTGCTTCTCATGTCAGAAAGGTAGTCCAGCTCGGACCAGCCAGAGAAGGAATCCACAAGGACTAAATGTGTTTTTCCATGCCAATCAAATAGGTCAGCAGCCGTGAAAGACCAGGGAAGATCCGGGATTTCATGCAGCTGCAGTGGTTCTTTCACCTGATGAGGTTTGAGTGAATTGCAGGGTGCGCAACGAGAGATTTCAGTGTCAATATCAATGTACATCGATGGCCAGTACATTGTTTCCTTAGCCCTGTGCTTTGTTGCTGCAATGCCAGGATGGCCCTGATGTAGCTGGCCTACATAAAATGTTTGCAAAACGGGAGGGATAATAAATCTCTCCCCACGAAGAAGCAAGTCATCTTGAATGGTCAGCTCATCTCTCATTGAAAAGAAGGAACGCAAGGAATACGGAAGTTCTTTCGAGGTGGCTGGCCAGCCGTTCCTAATCATATCAGAAAGCTGTTGGCATGTGACATCTTTTTGTACAGCAGCCCTGAGTTCATCTATGCGACGGGAGGAGAGTACTTGGACAGTCATGACCTCCAGTAGGTCATCTGTGAGTTGTGGGTCAGATGTGAAGAGGTGGGCTTGGGACAAGGCATCAGCCACAAACAACTCCTTGCCACGTTTGAAGATAACATCCAGATGGTAACGCTGCAGTTTCATCATCATACCCTGTAAACGGGGTGAGGCCGTGTGGAGTGGCTTCCTGATTATGGTTATCAAGGGCTGATGATCAGTTTCTACAGTGGCTGGGCGGCCATAGATGAAATCATGGAATTTTTTTGTCACAAACACAAGTGCCAACATTTTGTTGCAAACACGAGTGCCAACATTTCTTTTTCGATTTGAGCGTAACGTGATTCAGTGGGCGTGAGGGCTCGTGATGCAAATGCTACAGGCCGTCCTCACTGTAAGCATACTGCACCAAGGCCATGTTGAGAGGCGTCTGCCGAGAGGACCACTGGTATGGACGTATCAAAATACTGCAAAACTGGGGGGTTTGTCAAAGCTTGTTTCAGTCTAGCAAAAGCCTCATTATGAGTCTCATGCCAGCTCCACTCCACATCCTGATGAATCAACTGTCTCAAAGGACCTTTGTTTTGAGGAATCTCAAAGGACTGATGGAAAATGAAAAGTTGCGATTTTCTAGGCCGATATGGCTAGGAACTATACTCTCATTCCGGCGTAATAATCAAGGAACTTTGCTGCCGTACTATGGGTGCAGCAGGCGCAATGATATTACGCAGAGCCTAAAAATAGTCCCCAGCACGCTCCCTGTGCAAGCAGGTGGTCACGTTGGTTATGCTGACGGAAGTTAGCCTATTTTCATGCACTGCGTAATATCATTGCGCCTTCTGCACTCATGGTACGGCAGCAAAGTTCCTTAATTATTACGCCAGAATGAGAGTATAGTTCCTAGCCATATCGGCCTCGTTAACTTTTCATTTTCCGTCGGTCTTAGTACTCGATGTAACTACAGAAGAGTCAAGTTTTAAATAAGAAAAATATCGAAACTCTTTGGTCATTTTTGAGCGAGATGCTAACGGTCTAATCAGATTCAATGATCTATGCTAAGCTGCAGCTAAAAGTGCTAACGCCAGACCCAGAGATCGGCTGAATGGATTCGAAAACGGTAAAACTCAACTCTTTAACTCTAGGGGAGTTGGAAAATAAGCCTATTTTCAAAAATAGTGGAGTGTTCCTTTAAGGGA